AATTAGGCCCCTCCTTTTTGGAGTATTTTTCGTCAAAGCGTTCCTAGTTGCAAGTATATGGCAGCATTCACACCAGACCAAGACGTGCTTCTTCTTCTTCTTCTTGTTCGAACTTCAAGCTTATTGCTTAGCACATATTAGCTTATTGCGTGCTCTCAACTTAGTGTTCTAAATGCACTTCCATAGTTATTAATTGAGAGCTTTCGATGCCAATACCAATGCATGAATTTGTATATTGTATGGCAGCACAATGATACTCTATGCCCAGGGAAGTCGAGAAAATTTCCAACCCGAAAGATTCCCTCGACCGGATCGGGAATCGAACCCGCCGCCTCCGGCTTGGTAATACCGTGCCTTTACTGACTAGGCTATGAGGCCCCTTGGCCAAGACGTGCTCCAACCATGAATTGGATTTTTGTGAAAGAACAACTAGCGCTAATTGACTCTTTCACTCCAGTGCAAGTCGATTCCGACCGGATGACGGTGCCTATTGCGGGAAGCCTTTCCTCCGGTCGATGTAGGTGCATTCGTCGTCGTTTTCGAATTGGTGCGATACGTTCTGTTCCACACATGCGTCGTATCCGACGCTTATCCGTCCATTGCTCGAAGGTAAATAACGAAGAAAACGATTTGGCAAGCGATTTTATTACCACTGCTTTTCTCCTTCCTTCCATTCATTGGTGAAATGGTGAGCGGTAAACCGAGCGGTGAGCTCGCTAATGAGAGCATGCGCAGTGTGTCGTGTGTTCGATTTGCGCTCTATCGTTACGTCCGTGTTTGGGATTTTTCGTTACTGTCTGAATTTTGATTTTTTAATGTGATCTCCATTCATTAGAAATGTTTAATGGCTGAAACCTTGGACCGGTTCAAACATCTTCTCAAGAATCTTACTGAGAAGCAACACAAATTTTTCACTTGCGACACCAAAACTAAACGTCGGTTCTAGGTTGTCTCGAAAGGTCTACACACTAAGATTTTGTTTCCGTGTTTGGTAAATTTTACCGAAATCAGAACAGCTGAACGTTCGGTAAAACTTTGACCTTCACCTTTGGCTTTTGAATTTGAAAATAAGTTCCGAAAAGTTCAGCTGTTCAGATTTCGGTAGAAATTACCGAAGTCGGCGATAATTTCTAAGTGTGTAGTGGTGAATCCAATCAAATCAAATATGAACTGACAAAATTACTTGGAATTGAGCCAGTCCAATTAATCAATGGGGCTTCCCTTAGCTCAGTCGGTTAAGGCGCAGCTACAAAGCAAAACCATGCTGGAGGTGGCTGGGTTCGTTTCCCGATCCGGTCTAGGAGTTTTCCGGGTTGGAAAATTTCTCGACTTCCCTGGGTATAAAGCATGATTGTACTTGCCACACAACTATAATAATGCAAAAATAGTACAAACATCGAAAGCTCTCAATTACTAACTGTGGAAATGCATCTATAGAACACTAAGTTGAGAGCACGCAGCAAGCTAATATGCGACTACCAGTAATCTTGAAATACGAAGAAGAAGAAGGAGAAGAAGAAGTACTTTAAATGAAAATGAAATCCCGTCCTGGTGATTCGCGCAGCGGAATTTCTAATGATTTTTATTTAGTTCACTTTAAGTCTAGTAAACTAAACAACCTTAAGGTCTTAGAAAATGCTAGCATTATGCTCCATGTCCGAGTGACGTGAGAACATTTCAGGAATACTGGAGGAAATTTCCAAAACCTCACTCCAAATGACGACTGTCCTGGTGAAGGGCGATCATAAGAGATTTAATTGTTCAAATTGTGGTGAAAACCACAAATCCAATTTTTGGGAATGTAAGGCTTGCAAAGCGATCCTACAATCTCGTTCTTAGCAACAGGTAGGAAACGCTCCACGTTCCCGACCAGGTACTAATTTCTCTGCTGTTAACAACGGTCAACGAGGAACAAATTCTACATTCGTACCTGTAGGTACAAACAGCTCCCCTGCTTCAAAGTCTTCATCTGTACCTGCCGCTAACAAGTTCATAGAGCTGCCTATACTGCTATTGCAGCTGTTAAAAATCGAAATCAAAATTATAGCCAACATAATTCGAACGGAAATTTTGATGATTTTGACTTTGGTCTACGTGGAGTATGAACGGCCCCGTGTTAGTGAAAATGACAAGCAATTGTATTGTTCCTACTAATTCTGCTTGATAATGTCCCAGCCGATCGGAAATATCGTGAGAACTTTTCATATTTTTATTGCATTTCCAAAACTTCTTATCTTTAATAACCAAGCAAAATCCATTACATAATTGAACCACAGCTTAACCGAACCACCCGTTGGTAATTAGATACACTTAAATTTTACGACCATTCTCCGTTGTGCCGGGTCAGATTAGATAAATCCAACCAGCACGCTAAATCGTAGTATGTTTTGTAGGACTAGGCTCCTCTGAAGCATAATTTTCCCATTCTTCGGTTCCGTTCTTGTTAGGCTAGGAGTGATGGAATCGCGTTCTCTTTTCGTCTGTATATATTTAGCCGGTTGTGGTGGGTTAAAAATATATACATTGAAATAATTTTCCCGATACAATCTCCTCAGACTTTGCCTTGTTTTCACGAGCTGGCGAAGACCATGTGCAGACGATCAATACAGTCAAGGCTGCTATGGGAAATGAGTCCACCCCTCCTTAAAAGGAAGCCCTCTCTCGCGCCGGCAATAATTAGGCGGTTATTTATGTTCGTTTCCATTTTCCCGAATAAATTATCGTGTCTTTGTTGGAAGTAGCTACTTCTGGTTCCGTTGGAAAATTTTCGGTTACATCGGCCCAATTTACGCGCTCTCCATTCGGGCAAACAAAACAGTTTCAATTAATTAACTCTTGCCCCGAAGAGATCGATCAATTTGCGCTTCATTCGAAACTAATAATTCAATTTTCCATTTTCGCTGCACACACTCATTGCCGACTGGCGTGCAAATATTTTCCAAGTGATTAAGATTTTAATTGGGTTTATTGTTTGTTTATCTGCTCGACATCTAGCCGTGTACAACAGGCATCGGAATGAAGCGGCTGAAGGCAGGCTGTTCTGTACGGCTGTTCGTCGGTGCTCGGCTGGGTGGTTGAGCAGAATCGATTAATTTATCACGTAGCATGGTAAGTACACACACTCCATCACCCAGGGCCCCATTAATACTTCCACTTTGGGTTTGGTACTGCCAGATGACAGGAGGGGGTGCAGCGCTATGAGGTAATAGGCTCCCCAACCAAATTAATTAACTCACGAAAGAATGCTTGCTATGGCTGAGAAATGGTTCGAATTCCATAACCTTCAAAAATCGAAATATGATTTATTATTTTCATCTCTCTAAACGTCACATGCTCTAATTAATATGTTCATTGTTCACAAAAAAAAAGCTAAACATTTTATCGAACATACTTTCATACTCCACCTGCGTTTCCTTTTGTCTTCCTCTTGAAGAAAACTAAACAAACAATTTGGAACCCAAATCGAATAACATCTTAATTGGATGAAGTCCCCGTGCGAATCGTTCGGTCAGCCGGGTATCCTCCTCTGCGGGTGAGAAACTCCTAGCGTGGTCCATGCAAAGAAAATACAGACTGCTGCTGCTTCCCAACGACACGATTGCATTCCGACGGCGGACGAATCAGAGTCTCTCTCTCTCTCTCCCATTCCTTTACAAAAGCTAAGACACCTCTAACTAATAAAATTATCAAAAAGCCAGCAGCGAGCAACAAGCGAAACAAAAACACTTCCCAAACATGCGAACCATGCTGTGAGGAGGTAATTTATTTGTTTTAATTTTCCCTACACAGAGTTCACTCGCTCTCCTGTTGTCTTCCTTCGTTCCCTTCTTCAGCAGGATTCGCAGCTCACTGTTTTGTAGAGTTTGATCGGTTGTATTTAACGAGTCGTAGATACCTACATACATGCACTACTCGTCATAAGTATGGACTCACGTAGAAAGGTATTGCAACACTCATTTTAATATTTTATCACCATGAAAAGTTAAAATGTCTAACAGTGTTTGAAATTACCTCGGAAAGCACTGACGCTTTTCAGAAGTGTTTTAAATCACGTCAGAAAGCACTTAATCACTTAAAAACAGTTTGTAATCACATACATCGAAATAACTACGGAAAGTTATGAATCAATTGAGAATAATTTAGAATGACTTCGGAAACTACTGCATCACTTCATTAAAGTTTGGAATCACTTCGGAAGGTACTGAATCGCTTAATAAATTAACCACTTCATTCAAGCAGTTAAAATGACGATTACTACCACTCGAACTTTGAAATAAAACATTATTTTGATATTATTTGTTCTAGAACCACGAGAAAAGTAGCCAACATTTGTGCGTTTCATTAAAAATAAATATAAATTAATTAGTGCAGTTTTGTGAAATCGCTGGTAGAAAGTTACACCAAAGCTGCTTGACAAAGTGGTAAATTTATGGAATCACTTTGAAAAGTAGTTAATCACTGCATAAATGTTCGGAATCACTTCGAAAAGCACTGAATCATTTCAGGAAGTACTGAATAACTTTTGGAAAGTTCGAAACCCCTTCAGATAGTACTGAATCGCTGCTGTAAAGTTCGGACTGACTTCGGAAAGTACTGAATCATTTAAGAAATGTTTTCAACCACTACGGAAAGTAATCACTTCGGAATGTATTGTATTACTTTTGAAATGTTCGGTTTTACTTGTGAAGGTACTGAAACGATTCAAAAAAGTTTGGAATCACTTCAGAAAGTTGTGAATCACTTTAGAAATGTTCGAAGCTACTTAGGAAAGTACTGAATCATTTCGGAAAAGTTTGAGAATACTTGAAAATTTACTGAATTACTTCAGAAGAGTTTAGAATCGCTTTGGAAAGTACTGATTCACTTTAGACACATTTGGATTCTCTTCGGAAAGTACTGAATCATTCCAGAAAAGTTTGGAATCACTTCTGCAAGTACTGAAACACTTCGACATTAACGGAATCACTTCAGAAAAAAGTCGGAATCCCGTTGTAAAGTACTGAACCATTGCGGAAAGTTTGCTATCGACGACGACCTCAGCCGGGAAGACCAGATCCTCCAGGATGGCATCGTACACGGCAGTCAGGGTACGGGATCGTGGGCGCTTCTGCTTGTTGGGGTCACGACGGCCACGCTGAGGCTTGGGCAGGATACGGCGCTCGCCGATGAACACGACGTGCTTGCCGGAGAACTTCTTCTCCAGCTCATGAACCAGACGGGTCTGGACCTTCTGGAAGGCCTTCTGCTTGGGCACCGGCACATAGATCACGATAGCCTTCTTGCTGTTGAACTCGATCTCTCGAGCGCGGGTGATGTGCAGATCACGCAGTTGTGGCTTCAAGTCCGAGTTCATCTCCAGATCCAGGATAGCCTGGCCGATCTGACCCTCAAACGCATCAGGCTCGGCACCACCGGCCTTGATCACCTTTGATCCGAAAACCATAGCGAAAATAATTTACGTTCACAGTGAAATGTGTTCACTCGCACATCAAAGATGCCCGAAAAAAGAGCGAGAAAGGAGCAAAGTTAGTTCAAGAGCTGGTCGAGAAGTTACCGTCGAATTACATAATGGACTGGGTCCGTTTTAAGTGGAGCAAGAGTGGCACTCCTCTGAGAATCTTCACAGATTTCATGAACGACATCGTAGCCAACGCCTCCGAGGTATCAGAGTTTTCTACACTCTTTCTGGGCGACTCCCGCGATTCACAGCAATCTGTAAAAGGCAAACCAAAGCGGAAAGAGTTTATGCACGTGCACAACACCACTTCCGGTAAATCTGAATCTCCAACAGCATCTAACATTGCCAAGCCGTGCTTCGTTTGTAAACGAACGGATCACAAACTGCGTTTCTGTGACGACTTCAAGAAAAGCACCTTGGCAGACAGACTGAAGGTCGTGGAGCAACACAAACTCTGCGCTCAATGTCTCAATAACCACGGAAAAAGTCGCTGCAACTTTAAGATTCGCTGCAATATCAACGGATGTCAAGGCAATCACCATCCCCTGCTGCATCGCGCCGAAGGATCTATGCAGCTTATGGATATTGTGTGCAATACGCATGGTGTACTGAATCGTAGCGTTATCTTCCGTATGGTACCAGTTACCCTGTACTTCCAGGACTACGCACTAGATATTCTGGCATTCTTAGATGAAGGATCGTCGTCTACTCTTGTTGAAGATGAGGTGGCTAGGGAGTTAGATGTCCGAGGTTATGTGGAACCGCTGGTTGTTACGTGGACCGGAAACGTCAAGAGGTTCGAAGATTCGTCCAAAAGAGTCAATTTAAGGATTTCTGCACGGGGCTCAAACGAAAGATTGCTGTTGAAGGATGTCCGCACTGTTGCTGAGTTAAAACTACCGAAACAAAGTTTGCAGTACGAAAAGATAGCTGGAAAGTACCCACATCTACACAATATTCCCGCTGTGAGCTATGGGCTCGAAGAACCAAGGATTATTCTTGGACTGGACAACTTGGACGTATTCGCTCCTCTCGAATCGCGAGTTGGCTCACCTGGGGAGCCAATCGGCGTGAAATCCAAGCTGGGGTGGACGATTTACGGCCCTCAACAGAGTGGACCCGTAGTATCAGACGTCAGAGTCAACTTCCACTCATTGAAACCGTTGAGCAACCAAGACCTTCACGACGTTATGCGGAGCCAGTTCCTGTTGGATGATCCCTCAGTAACTTCAGTTGCGGTATCAGCATTATGCAAGCGACGACAGTACGAGTTGAGGACCGGTACGAAACCGGATTGCTATGGCGACAAGAAGAGCGAAGGTTTCCGGATAGCTATCCAATGGCGATGTCACGACTGAAAGCTTTAGAAAGAAAATTAGAACGTAATCCGGAACTTCGATCGAAGGTCCTTCAACAGATTACCGATTACCTGGTAAAAGGTTATGCGCACAAGGCTACTATCGAAGATTTGGCGGAGATGGCAGATGGAAACGTTTGGTATCTTCCCTTGAACGTGGTGCTCAACCCTCGAAAACCAGGGAAAGTGCACATCGTATGGGACGCGAGAGCATCGCTGACCACGCTTCGAACCTGAACTGGAACTGGAAGCTCCACCAATCGCTATGAATTGATCCAACTATTCTGCATTTGCTGTCAGAAATCGTTCATTCATTCGTTTTGCATTGTTCCAGCGGCGTAGGTATTCGCGATATTAAGCGCCTATTATAACATCAATTATTCCCACATGCCTCGTTATGTATTCGCGAATTGATCTAAATTTCTCCTCGGAACTGCCCAGAACGTGTAAACCACCTAGTATGTCTGTTCTTTTTAAGAAAATTTATATAACAATGAATAGGGTTTAACTATTGTGTTTCTGATGCTATAAGTGTAGACCAGGCTGAGTAAAATGTCCATGGATTTTCCGAATATCCGAGAAGTTTTTTCTTGGAAAAGCCACGCACACACACACACACACACACACACACAAACACACACACACACACACACACACACACACACACACACACACACACACACACACACACACACACACACACACACACACACACACACATACCCACAGACACACACACACACACACACACACACACACACACACACACACACACACACACACACACACACACACACACACACACACACACACACACACACACACACACACACACACAAAAGATATTGTTAATGATAAATTGTATATGACACTCGACCTTGTGCGTCTCGGGTAAAAAACCGTTTTTCAAGCGGATTCAAGTAAGGTGATGAGGGGGCGTCCATAAAGTACGTCACGCCCTAAGAGGGGAAGGGGACATGAAGAATCTTTGACAAACAATGTATTAAGTCTAGGCAAAATGCATTGAAAGAGGAGAGAGGAGGGCTGATTTTACCTCAATATAGCGTGACGTACTCTATGGATCGCCACTTAAAGTAAAAATTTCAAAAACGGACGTAGCATCCAAAAATCACTACAATATGAAATTTCCATCAAATTCAGACAACTTTTGGATTTTTGTCCGAGATTTGTATGGACGGTGTCCACTGTGCATCGGGACATTTGGAGCAACGTGCTCCCCATGCTCTGCACAATTCATTAAAAATTTGAACGCGGTGCAGTTCGAGCACGAATTTCCAAAAGCTTCAGCCGCAGTGATCGAGAAACACTACGTAGATGATTACTACGATAGTGTAGATTCAGTGGAAGAAGGAATCAAGATTGCTACTGAAGTAAAACTAATCCATTCTTGTGGAGGTTTCCTCATCAGAAATTGGGTGTCTAACTCCCCAAGATTCTTGGAAGCGATGGGGGAACACTCGGCGACGTCTGCTGTACATTTTCATCAAGATAAGGAGACAATGACCGAACGCGTCCTTGGAATTGTGTGGGATCCGAAGGACGATGTCCTCTCTTTCTCTACGGCAACTCGTGACGAATATCAATCTATGCTACAAGGGATTGGTAGACCCTCCAAAAGGATTGTGTTGAGCTCGGTGATGTCAATGTTCGACCCTCTTGGTCTGCTGTCACCATTTACGGTGTACGGGCGGATGTTAATACAAGATTTGTGGAGAACCGGCTGCGGATGGGATGATCCCATCGACGATGAATCGTTTGAGAAGTGGATTCGGTGGACCAAAGTGCTGCCAACTATCGAAGCGATTAGAGTGCCACGAAGCTACTTCGGACAAGCAAGTTATACGGACATCGAAGATCTTCAACTTCACATCGTTACGGACGCCAGCAAGGGTACATACGGATGCGCAGCGTATTTTCGGGCAATAGTCAACGGAAAGATACAATGCGCATTGATAACGAGCCTCGTAAAAGTGGCCCCATTGAAGCCCATGTCCGTACCACGCCTTGAACTACAAGCTGCAGTATTAGGAGCGCGTTTAGCAAAAACGGTGCGAAGCAATCATTCATTCCAGATTAGACGACAGTTTTTCTGGACTGACTCCACAACCGTATTGTCCTGGATTACTTCCGAATTGCGAAGGTACAAGGAGTTCGTCGGATTACGCATCGGGGAGATCCTTACGCTTACCAAGCTATGTGAGTGGCGCTGGGTCCCTACAAGGCTAAACATAGCAGACCAATTAACGAAGTGGGCCAGAGATCCCGAGTTGAACTCGGACAGTCAGTGGTTTACAGGACCCGAGTTTCTATACCGAGATGAGGAAAATTGGCCGAAGCAGAAGACATTGTCGTCGACTACGCAGGAGGAATTGAAAGCGCATTTATTGGTACATGACGTGCAGCTACTTGCGCCAGCTATCGAAGTTCTCCGCATATCTAAGTGGACCGTTTTGGTTCGCAAGATAGCTACTGTCTTCAGATTTATATCCAACTGTCGTGCAAAGATGAACGGTTTGCCGATCGAAACACTAAAGGCTACGGATAAGCAAGCGAAGATCATCAAACCCAGAAACTTTCCAGTGCAACGAATGCCATTGAAGCAGGTCGAGTACGAGAAGGCAGAGCGAAGCTTAATCAAGATGGCGCAAGCTGAATGCTTCGGTGAAGAGGTGAAAGTATTAACAAAAAATACGAACGTGGCCGCGGAGCATAGATTGCAGATCGAAAAATCGAGCTTTCTATACAGGCTGACACCTCTCATCGATGAAGACGGAATTCTGCGGATGGAGAGCCGAGTGGAACGCGCTGAGTTCCTATCGTTTGACCTTCGTTTTCCCATAGTGCTGCCGAAACAACATGCAGTTACAATGAAGATCGTTCAACACTATCACGAACGATTCGGTCATGGATATCGAGAGACAGTGAAGAATGAGTTGCGGCAAAGGTTCTTCATACAGGCGGTAGGAGCAGTAATTACTAGGGTGGCTAGTGACTGTCTATGGTGCAGGATTAACAAAAACCGTCCACAAAACCCTAGAATGGCGGCACTACCGGTACAAAGACTAACTCCATTTTTAAGACCCTTTAGCTACGTGGGCGTGGATTATCTTGGGCCGTTCGTAGTCACAGTTGGCCGTCGCAGTGAGAAGAGGTGGATAGTTTTATTCACATGTTTGGTCGTCATATCAATTCATCTCGAGGTCGCTCATTCGTTAACCACGCAGTCCTGTTTGATGGCAATTCGCCGATTCGTTGGTCGACGTGGTCCACCGAAGGAAATTTTTTCGGACAACGGGACAAATCTAAGAGGTTTAAGCAAGGAGATAGTGGACAAGATTCACAGCATAGATCAAGAATGCGCCGATGAGTTCACGTCGGCTCGAACAAAGTGGACGTTCAATCCACCTGCCTCTCCCCACATGGGGGAGTTTGGGAAAGACTCGTGAGGTCCGTGAAGGAAGTACTGGTAGCGATTGATGATGGAAGGCGTTTGACTGACGAAATCCTGCTCACCTCGATCGCTGAAACTGAAGACATTATAAATTCTCGGCCCCTTACGTACGTGAGCCAAGGAACTGAAAATGTGGAAACACTTAGCCCTAACCATTTTCTTCGGGGCAGTTCACCGAATGAACCACTATCGGTGCTACCTCCGGTACACCCAGCGGAAGCTCTACGGGACTC